ATATATATATATATATAAAATAATTAATATAACGTTGAAAGTATCGAGTGTGCGAATACTTTTAAATACATGTCCTGTATATACATACATATATACGTTATATAAATTATTATTACATTAATTCTATTATTATTAATATTACTATTTGTTATGCATTTATTATTATTAATTCGCACAAAATATCGACAGTTTAAACTGTTTGAACTTCGTGCGACAAAATCGTACGACACTGCGGTTTTGGAGCTTTAAACTTTGCCAACCTTGAATTATCTTCTACCAAAGATTATGTTTCCACGTCGTGCAGCATTTCGTCGTCGAGGAAGTGTGAAAATTGAAGCCAAGCCTGGGGAAAATTTTCCTCACGATCTCTGCCGATCTCACAATCTCGAAGGCTTTTCTTTAAAACTTGCAATGCGTTTGGTTTGATTTTTGAACTCTGTGGATTTACGGAGACGTGGCTTCTTTACGATTTCTTTTCATAATTTAAAACGACGTTGCTCTGTCGCGTTTTCATTTGAAAAGAAGGTCAATACGAGGGTATTTTTAATTTTGGTTGCAGAAAGCGGTGGGGCTCGTCCGGAGGAGAAAGAGACGACAGAATAAAGTAGGTAAAGAAGGGAAGGGGGCTGTTCCCCTACGACTGGCAGAGAGGGGTAGTTGACTCGCAAGCCATCAGTTCGACATCAAGTTTAAAGGAGAGGCGGTGAACTTCTGCTTACTCACTCCTGTCAGTCGACCATTTCCCCCACCGAATGAAATTAGTTTCCGCTCTGTGCATTCTTTCCCGGCCGCAGCCGCTTTCCCGATCTTCTTTCAACTTCACCAGCTGAAGCTAAAGCGAACAGATCGATACGGTGGAGGGGAGCGCCCCCTACCGACCGAGAGAGTAGGAGGGGCACGGGCCGCCAGTTCGCTACCTCCAACTCCAAACTGCGGATCATCGAGGAGACGCTTCAAAAAAAAAAAAAAAAAAAAAAAAAAAGAAAGTGTTCATCCGCTCTGCTTAAAGCGGCTCTTCGAAAGAGGGAAATTTTCGCCGCTCTTAATCTAACTAGCTGCCACTTGTCTCTCGAGTACTGCTGAGCATCGCTATCGTCGCTTCGCGAAGGTTCTCGTGCCTTCGTTAGATCACAAAGAGCCAAGTATTCGCGAGAGAAGCGCGGAAACGAGTGTCTCGTTGCGAACTGGAAAATCCTTCGAGAGTAAATGGCTCTTTTTTTCGAAGATCCAACGAGATCGCGGATTCTCCAAAATGGCGGAGTTCGTTCGAAGGTCGTCGTTCGTCGCGACGATCAATGTTAATCGACGCAGGGACACGCGTCTACGAAGCCGCGAACGAGCGGCCAGCTCCCTTTGTACGCGCAGTTTAAAGCGGTAATGAAATTGCGCGTACCATCCGGCCCGAAGCTTAATTGGAAGATGCGCTCCCCGACGATTATCAATTTGTTATCGCGGCTGGCAGACGCCCGCTCAGCTCCGCTCTGCGTCTAGCATCGAATCCGCTTCCTGTTTTCTTTCTTTCTTCTTCTTTTTTTCAAAGAGGCGTCCTGGTTCGCTCTTTCGCGAACGCGCGCTAATCGAGTCTCGTCCCTTTGACCAAAGAATGAGAAGCCGCGTCACGACCGACTCTCTCCAGTCTCTTTGAAATCAACCATTCCTTACAACTTACTTTCATTTTCGAAAGTTTTTCAATCTTTCCGGATCTGTTTTTTTATTAACTCGTTCCGGGTAATCGTCTTTCGACGAGACACTGCGTTGGTTTCACATATTCAGAAATCGATCTTCTTTTTTTTCGACTCGCAATCAGATGATCCTCTTCGTATTCTTATGCTTCCGTAACGAAAGAGTGGAGTTGGCGCATTGCGTGTTTTGTTCCTGCGTTTCCGAGCATTCGCGTGTAGAAAGTATATACGAAGAATAATCGTTGCTTCGTAACTTTCCAAAATGTCGGGATGTTTCGCAGAATATCGTAGGTGAAATTACAGCGAGCATCTGGAATCGAATCCCATTCACGCGACGCTTCCAAAATCCGCGCGAAAGCGAAAACAATACTCTGAGACTCGTGTCTCGATCGATGTCCAGGACCAAGGGAATCGGTCTAATCCTTTAATCCTCGAGTGGCAGGAACAAAAGGAACGTTCGAGCAATCTCGACGATGGTTAGTCCCCGATCGCTCTTAAAACAATGTGCAACCGAGTTCTTTTTATTTATCTGCATTCTCGTTTCGATATTGTTCCCCGACCTCGACCCAGTTTCAACGAGAAAGAGAAAAAAGGGGGAAACCATTTTCCGGTGCAGGTCCCGCGGAAACAATGAACATATTTTGTAATATTTCTCCGG